TGAGAAACGCCGTTAGATAGACTTTGTGGTTTCAAACTCCAGCTGGACTAATAGCGAATTGACAGTGGAATTTCGCCAACCCTTAAGCCTGATTGAAGTTGGGGCGGCAGCGTCTAAACGCACGAAGGCCGCCGGAGAGGACTCCAACGACCTTCATCAAGAGAAGTACACCCCAGAGGATTCGAACTTCTAACCTTCGGTTCCGTAGACCGATGCCACATTCCCCTAAGCCCCATATTCATCAACGGGTTACGCAGACTCGACTCAAGCGGGGTGCCCAATATGGTGCCGACAATTTCGCATTCGATACCATCAGTCGATGTCCCGAACGCTGACGATGCCAATCTTCAGACAGTGATCGCTGCATGGTCGAAGTTGCCTGAATCGGTACGCGTAGGCATTGTCGCCATGGTCCAAGCGACGACCAGCGAGAGGCGGGGTAACTAGAGGGTGAGGCTGCAGAGCTTTTTTGTGACGCCCCAGTGCGGACAAAAGCGGAAAGCACACCTGCGAAAAGAACCTGGAGGCCCGCCCGTCATCCTCGTCATTCACAGACCTGATAACTTTTGCCAGTACGGTACTAGATTTGTCTGTCGACAAGCGGTCCGAGTTTCAGATGCAAGCAACTCCACAGCGCTGACCAAGCCACTTTCCTGCTCGTGTCTCAAGCAAATGACGAGGATGACGCATGCCCATGGCCTACAGCTCACGCACTGAGGTGGGGCGGACCTATAGTGTTTAGGGTCCTGATAAATCGGTAAACTGAGTAAAATACCCTCGACATGATGCACGATGCGAACCCCTGTCCCCGAAAAACTGCTGAAGATCGTCGAAGACATCCACGCCGACGGCCAAGCGAACCTGACCCGGCTGACAGTGCTCAAGAAATGGTTTGAGACGTCCGGTCGACTGAAGCCGTTTGCGTTATGGGTCGCCACCCGCGCCGCTTCCCGCAAAGGCAAGACCAAGGGCGAAGCAGGCCAGCTGTTTGTCGAGGTCCGAACTCTACTGGCCGGTGTCGACCGGCTCGGGAATGACCTCAACACAACAGCCGTGGAGTCGTTTCGCCATCGCCTCCTAGAGTTTCAAAACGAGTACCGCAACGACCGCTGGGGGCGGGTCCGGATCGTCCGCCACTGGCAGCTGCTGCTCGTCGAGAAGGGCCTGGCGATCGCGACAAGCCACGATCCGCATTCCTCGGAGGGCTACAAGCTCGCCGCCGACTACTGCCAGAACTACGACCCGACGTACGGCAACAGCCTCAACGGCCCGAGCGCGACGAAGATCACGGAGATTGTCCGCTGGATGTTCACCCACGAGGCGCTCGAAGAAGCAGAGTGAACGGTACTTCCGCTGATGACGCTTCTCCGCTGCACGCAAAAGCTCCGCACGGTCATGGGCCTTCGCTCGGCCGACCTTAAAGAAGCGGGCAGTGAGGCATTGCTGGGAGACTGGTACGCGACCCTCCTCTACGAGCATCGCAAGAAGTGCGTCCTTTTTGCCAGCGACAAGACACTGCTTTGTTTCCTCGTACCCGCACTATCGCAGGCCCGTATTCGTCGACTCGATGATGTGTTTCGCGACGGTCTTTTTCGGCTATTGCTCGACGAAGGGTTTCAGCCACAGCACGTAACGCGATTGTTTCATGAGTGCCGCAACGTCCGCTACGCCGCAACTATCGATCGGAGCATGACCGGCACCGTCAACGAAATGGTAAAGGAGGTGCATTTCTGGCTCCCACGCTTTGGGGACGTAGCGAACCCCGACCTTGCGGCGCTGCACCACAAGCTCAACCGCTACCCGCTCAAGCGCAACGAGTACGATTACGCCATCGACCGCACCAAACGGTTGCTGGAATCGCTGGCTGATAATTGAGGTGCCTGTCGAGTGGATCAAGGCGGCACCCGGAGGAGGCTTCCTGGGCGAATGGCCTACTGGGCAATGCAACAAAGCAATCGTGAATTCAGGAGTCGGTCGCATGTCTCGAAGCGTGCACGGCGCATGAGGGCTGACAGGTCTGAGTCCTCAAGTTGAACATACGGAAAGGCGCGGTTGCGACCGGGCGGACCATTGCGTCTTTCGACAGGATCCGGCACGGCTGATCACACTCTTCGCTCCAGTGGGCTAAACGCTGCGGAGCAGAAACTACAATTGGCCAAGTGCCAGCGGTCGAGACACCGACCGCAGATCAAAGCCGCTCAAACTGAGCGAGGATGCATCGGCGAACGTAATCTTAACGCCACACGTGACCGCGGCTGGACCTCCACGTCCGACTTCAGACACTGGCGCAAGAGCAGCGGTGTCCCATCCGCGAGGGCACCTCCTTCAGTTCGACGGCATCCTCAGCCGCATCGACCGATGCAGCCGCCTGCTCTTGACGAATCCTGAAAGACGCAGCGGTCTCCATCAATCAAGACACCCCAGCCGCGGCGTTCGCAGCCCAGCCGATGGACTAGACCGAAGCAGAGATGAGCGCTAGGCGGAAACAGCCTATCACACAGGGAGAGATTTGATATGGACGCAACCAACGGCTAGATTCTGACTTGTGAAGATCGGTGACCTGCGCGTTAGGCTGCAAGCGTGCAGTCTACAGGTAATACGGTGACCATTCTAAAGCCAAGTTATTTGCATCATGATCGCTGTTCTCAATGCCTGACTTGACATCAGAACAAAAGAAGCGTGTTGAATACCTCGCAACCGATGAATGGGTCGTGGACACTGGTGCGGACGACGACGAGGCGCGATCATTGGAGAACTTTCGCGCAACGCTCCGTCTAATGTCTTCGATTGAGCTTCACCACTTTGCGTGCAACTTCAATTGGGACTGCGGTACTGACGAACTTGCGGCTGTGATCGAACATCCAGAATGTGATGCCGGAACGGCGATGATGATTTTCTGGCTTGGCCAACCGACGCACTATTACCAACGACATCGCGACGGAAAACTGGCCGAACACGAACAGCCTGCATTCGAATTCTTGCGCCACATCGAGACTCGCCTGATGTCGGACGATTTCGCACGCTCTGCTATTGCGTGCGATCCATTCGATATAATGGGCCAACCGATGACTCGCGGAACGGATCGCGAACGTGAAGTTCTTGATGCTCGCCTGTTTAACAAGCTCGATGGTGAGGTCGTGGAACCGCACATGTGTTGACGCAAACAGCAAATAACAATCGGTTGGACGCGGAGGCCTCGAAAGCGTATTTCAAATGGTTGATCTTTCGTTCGGCCCCGGTCAACCCTGCCGTCAGCCAGCAGAGACTACGTGCCACCTGAAATCGAAATGCCATCTGACTGGGATAACCACCGTGGTTGGGAAGCCTACTACGCCGCGTTGCCGTCTGATGATTTTTGGGACAAGAGCGCGACAACGGATTCGGGAAGTTTTGCCTTTGATCGCCTTGGTGCGCTGATCGATGACCTGCATACCCGCGAGTGGTTCACGATCTGGTTCCCGGGTTGCGGATTTTCGCCCCTTCCCCGCGCAATGAGCGAATTTGGATTCACGGTGCATGCAACCGACATCGCTCCCTCCGCCGTTGAATTTCAAACCAAGAATTCCGATATGGTCCAACCACTTTTGTCGGGTATTGCTGTCGAACGTAAGGCTCCCAGATCGGGTGGTATCAATTCGGCCCTTCACGATTTCCGTACGCCACTTAATCTCACGGTTGATGTCATTATCAACATCAAGTCATTTCAGGCTTTGCCTGCCCCCAGCATGAAAGCTGCCGCTGAGTCTCACTTCTCCGCACTTCGAGATGGTGGTCTCGCATTCTTCGACACCATGAATGTACAGGGCGATCGTCGTGACTTTCTTGAGGACACTTTGGCGGACGCGGGCTTCTATGTGCCGCTTCACGCACACAACAAGTGGTATCGCAAAGCACTGGCCGACACCGGTATTCCACATATGTTCGTGCTCGGCGCGCCAATGATCCCCCAGCGAGACGACTATCCCTATCCCCACGCGCGTGGCTCTGCCGAATACGATCGGGACGTTGGTATCTTGCGTGACCTTACTGCACAATATCGTGAGAACATGCAAGCAGAGTATGAGAAAGAGCAAGAGTCGATTTCTGATGACGCCAAGGAGGCGCATATTATCTACTCAACTGGTTGACCCGGCTGGCTAACGCGTAACGTCGCCGTCCGGTTACGCTGGACTTCGCCGCAACGGTTCACGTACACCGCCTGCAAATCACCCTCTTTGATAGTGCCGTCGGAAGGACCACCAAACGCGAGTTGCTGACGAGGCTAACTTGCAGAGGTCACCTGGCACGGACGCCACCGCTGCGAGTTAGAGCGTTCTACTGGCGTGAATAACCTGCGCACGGCCGAAATTAGGCCCTGCCAGTCTAGCAATACTCCCTGAGTTTGCTCTCACCCTGATCGCCATCGTCTGGATCGTGTGCATGACACTCGGCCCATTGCCCGAGTCCCAGTTCCGCCAGAGCCGAAACGAGGGAATGCAGCTGCAACTCGCACAGATGACGAAAATCTACGCCGAATGAGCAGCATCTGTGTAAGTTCGGCTGACCCGGAACTCGCACGGACGATGCAACCGATGCGACTTGGAAACCTGTGAACCTGCAATCGTTGCTGTCTTTCGCCGCGATTTTTGGATTACAGTAGTGGCCAAAGCGAACTTTGGGCTGAGCTACTGCTAAAAAGGCAAAAACTCAAGGGCGAGGGGTGCTTGACCTGACCTGTGGACCGTGTTTCCGAACTAACGAGTTGGGAGTCTTCCGGATGATTACAGTGTCAGCGGATAAGAGAACGCACTTTACATCAGCATTTCCATCAAGTAAAGCGGGAAAGCCTAATATCATCGGCCTATGTGATATGCATGGGAACGTTTTCGAATGGTGCTTGGATTGGTATGAGGATGGCTATAAACCTCCCTTAGTCATAGATATGCTCTGTTGAAAACAGCTTTGGTTCTCTATGATTCTGTTGACGGTATCAAGATTCAATCGCCCAAGGAGGGGACGCGATGGCCGATACGGCTCAACGAAGGATGACGAAGTCGCCGGTGCGGCTAGCGCGAGAGGCATTACGTATCGGCGAAGAGGGCTTGCCGAGTTACTCGGCGGCGAAAAGTCCGAAGAAATTCACGCAGCCGCAGTTGTTCGCCGTCTTGGTGCTGCGGCAGTTCTTCAAGACCGACTATCGTGGCATCGTTGCGTTGCTGGAAGATATAGGCGAGTTGCGCGAGGCGATCGGTCTCAAACGGGTACCGCATTATTCGACGCTTTGTTACGCCGAAGCTCGGCTGCTGAAAAAGGGGCGTTCACAAGCTTGCTTGCAGTCGTACTTCAGCGCGCAGAACGGCTCGGCTTGATTGGTAAGAAGCCGGACGCGGCCGTCGATGCGACTGGTTTGGAAAGCCGTCATGCATCACGACATTACGTGTCGAGAGCGGGCCAGAAGCGATACCTGCGCAGCGATTGGCCAAAGTTGACCGTAGTCTGCGACACGGCCAGTCACCTCATCGCCGGCGCGAGCGTGGCACGCGGACCAAGCCAAGACTCACCCGACTTCTTTCCGGCGATGTATCAAGCGGGTTGCCACGTGCGTTGGTACCGTGTGTTCGCCGATGCCGGCTACGATGCCGAGCACAACCACGAGTTCTGCCGTGATGTGTTGGGAATGAAGTCATCGATCATTACACTCAATCGTCGCAACATGGGCCGCCGCTGGCCACTCACGAAGTATCGACGTCAGATGAAACGCACGGCGTATCGCCGCGACTATGGCCAGCGTTGGCAAGTCGAAAGCGTCTTTTCGCGTTACAAACGCCTGCTCGGCGCCGCCCTTCGCGCCCGCACCGATGCCAGCCAAGCCCGCGAAATGCTACTGCGAGTGCTGGTCCATAACCTGATGCTTCTCAGGCGTGTGGGTTGTTTTCAACAGAGCATCATAGATACTCAAGGACCCAGTTCCGGCATAAGCCGTGTGGATCGAGGCGGAAGCTGGGATCTTTCCAGCGACGACCAAAGATCGGCTAACCGTATCGGCCACGGGCCGGATGGGCGAAGCCATCGCGTGGGTTTTCGAGTAGTTCGCGAAACTGAAGACTAAAAGTCTTGCAGTGTTTTTTGCGATTGCTTGGAGTTCCCATATTAGGCTCTGTCAGAAACTGCCAAACTGGTATCGAATCTTGATAGCCCTCAGCCCGTAGGGTATTTTGTGTCATTGCTTACGGGCCATACCTGGACTTTACCAAACGCTGGAGATGGCTCCATGGCTGGAATGAGAAGAGCCGCACTGCGATTCGGAATCCCATTGAGGTATTCAAGTTGGGCTCGAAATGGGGCAAGCATCGATGAGTCTACCCGTAGCTTCTTGGGTTGGAAGAGAACTCTCGTCCGGCCGGTATCGCGTTGTTGGCGAGTTGGGTGAAGGTGGCATGGGGCAGGTCTATCGGGCCTGGGATGCCAACCTTGAGACCGATGTGGTCATCAAGGTCCCTCATGCGGGACTGAGCGACGACCCTGAGTTTGCGGGACGATTCACTCGCGAGATTCGCTCACTCGTCAAGCTTTCTCATCCTCACATTGTCAAAGTGATTGATGTCGGCGAGCACAATGACCGGCCGTTCGCCGTAATGCAATATCTGTCGGGAGGGAGTCTGGCAGACCAACGTCAATTGGACCAAGGGGGGCAACCGCTTCCGTTGGCACCTCAGTCGCTAAGGCCGTGGCTGCCCGACATTGCTGCGGCCCTCGACTTTGTTCATGACCGAGGATATGTGCATCGGGATGTTAAGCCAGCCAACATCCTTTTCGACGAGCACGGCCACGCTTACCTTAGCGATTTTGGGATTGCCAAAGTTGTGTTGAATGCTGCGCGGGAGGTGGAAGCGACTTCGCAGACGTCGACTGGGCTTGTACTGGGCACGCCACATTACATGTCCCCTGAACTGATTATGGGGGAAGAATTCGATGGACGCGCTGATCAGTATGCATTAGCGGTCCTCGTCTATGAACTGCTTTGCGGCCAGTTGCCAATCGATGGCCCGACTCCAGCGGCGATCCTGGTTCAGCAAATAAACCACGAGCCGTCGGCCCCAAAGTCGATTGTCTCGGAACTGCCTTCTCCAGTATCAGCCGCGATCGTGCGGGCTTTGTCCAAAGATCCTGGTCTTCGATACGCGTCTTGTGCGGAATTCGCGCAAGCTGTTCTACTGCCGCCTCAGAGAGTTTCAGGTTCCACTCTGCCCCAGCACCAGAGCGAGAAGCTCGCGAGGAAATCATCTCAGGCAAGTATCCCTTGCCCGTCTTGCGGAACGACGCTTGTTGTTCTCCGTCAGCATGCAGGCAGGAAGGTTAGTTGTCCTCGTTGTAAGACTCGCTTTAGGGTGCTGGAGAATCTTCGAGGCGTTCAGAAGCTTGCGGATAAGCAGACGCACATAGCGAATAGCAACAAGGCTTTGGTTGAGCCTCCCACAGTAATGGTATCGAGCCTCTCAGATCAGGTGAAATCCGATACCGATGCAAGACGCACAACACTCGAAACAGCTCCGCACCCTCAGCTGGATCGTGTGGAGTCGCGTTCGAATCCACCCGCTCCAAAAATTGAGGCTTCTGAAGATCGCTGGGGGTCCTACGCAAGACGTCGATCTTTTGGGACAAAGCTTCAGAGTAAGTCATTTTTAATTGTCGGCGGACTAGCGGTTGTGGGAATTCTTGCCTTGGTGTTGAGTATGAATTCAGCGTCGAGCGATCCAGCCTCGTACCAAACAAGCCTTCGGCAAGCAAACGAGGATGCGGCCAAAACTGGTCAGGTCCCCGATTCGTCGCTAGAGGTGCGTCCGGAAGCTGCTCAGCAGCATCCGCAAGTTTCTGGAAATATCAAAGTCCCATTCGGAGAGGATTCAGAGGGAACTGCAGAAAAAAGCAGTACTTCAACCCCGGCCCCCTCGCCATCTCTTGGAGATTCGTCAGCGGATATCGCAGCAAGCGACATGGGGCACTCGCCGGATGGGAATGCAGGTGCGCATTCGAGCGGAGGCCCCTGGGAGAACTCACTACCAGTAAGTCCACCTATCGACCCGTCGGCAAACGAACGATCCGAGGGTGCAACTGTCTTGCATGAGCCGATTTCGTTGACTGTTGAACCGGAAGTTGAATTGCCAGCGAGCGAGCTAGTCAATGAGAATTCAACTGGCGGTCCTGTACGCTTGGGAACGATTCCTGAGAGCGTGCTTGGTCAACTTCAGATTGAATTGGACACTAGATATGTCGATCTGAACGGGGGCCACAACTACGAGGTTAAGCGTGCAACAGATTCTGCTAGGCGATGGGAGATCATTCTGGCAAAGCTTGATGGGGTCGGATTGCCTGCTCCTCCGCCTGGGGGCCATAAGGTTGACTACGAGTCACCCATAGCCTTTCTCGAAGCCAGTGATGGGGAACTGAGGTTCAGTTGGAACTCTCAGAATCCCTGGGCATTCGGAACAGATCAAGACAAGAATCTTGCAGGCCAGCTCAGCAATTGCGTTCTCTTACTACGGCACGCGGAAGAACAGCATGCGATTCGTCTCCGTTGTCTTGAGCGGACTGCGCCGCTCTTAGTGAAGTTGGAAGAGAAAGAGGAAGAGACGCAACACTCACTTCACCACCTCCCACCTCGCAAATCCCTGGCCCTTAAGCTCACGGAGTTGGATGGATTCGGGGCGGTGATTGAGATGGTCCCGGGTGACGGAAGGATGGAACTTGATGACCGGGGGAGGGTGGAGCTTTATGTCGGTGACCAGAAAGAGATTCGGCTTAGGGTTGAGAGTGAGTTGGTAGACGATGGTGTGAGAGTCTCATTGAGCTCGCATTTCAAGTCGGGCGATTCTTACAAGCCCCTGACCCCGAAGCTTGCAAAGCAGGAGCTCACATTAAAGCAAAGGCTTCTTGCAAAAGGTGAAGGCGACCTAGCGGCAGCCAAGCAAGATTTTAAGGGCGCCGATTCCTATCGTAAAAGATTGGGTTCGCCACCGAGCGACCCGAGAAAACAGTTTGCTTGGCAGAAACAGGTAGGTGACGCCAACAGTGCGATGAAAAGGGCTGAAGGTAAGATCACTCGAAATACCAACATGATCGCTAGTCTCCAAGAGGTAGTAGCGGCACTAGAGAAGATGGGAGACTTGGCAACTGCCTTACAGAAGAATAGCCCCTCGATCAGTTACTTGATCATTACAACGATTGATGGGAACGAGAGGCCACTATTGGTTGCCGGTCGAGACTACTCGCAGAGCACAGCCGCCTCGTTTAGCAATGCCGAATCGCCAAAAGGTTTTTCTGAACCGCCAGGCTCAAACTCAGTTTTCTTGGCCCATCACCTTGCTCCCCTGGAAAACCTGCTCTTGAGCCCGAAAAAAGATTGGTCTCGCGGTTACTACTTCATAGAGGCTGCAGATGTCACACCGGCAAGAGAAGTAGTCTACTGATGTATCATCTTACGGACATTCAAAACACGTCCACATTCATTTGCCCTTCGCGCACCTCTCGCAATTTAGAATGCAACCAACTTCGGTAACGCTGCTGGCTCGTCTGCAAGAGGATCCGCAGTTCGAAGACTGGGATAGGTTTGTGCAGCTTTACCACCCATTCGTGAGGCGATTCATCCGCTTGGATCCGGCGATGGCTAGCGACGCCGAGGATATCTGCCAGGAGGTGATGAAGAAGGTGGTGCGGAAAGTGCCGCAGTTTCAGCGGCAGCGAGACGGGTCGTTCCGGGCTTGGCTGAAGACGGTCACGGTCAACGAGGTGAATCTCTTCTGGAGGCGAGTCAGAGGGGCCAAACGTCTTGCTGGCCAGGATGGACAATCAGTGCTCGAAGCCCTGCAGGATCCAACCCACGAGTTGAGCCAGATGTGGGACCGCGAACACGCTGCGCACATTCTCCAGAAGCTCCAAGAACTGATCGAGCCAGAGTTCTCGGACACCTCGTGGGCCGCGTTCCGAATGAGGGTGCTCGAGGAGAAGCCGACGGCGCAAGTCGCCGCTGAGCTGGGCATTTCCAAAAATTCTGTAGATATCGCTAAGTCCAGAATTCTTGGGCGTTTGCGACGAGAGGCAAGCGGTTTTCTCGATGAGGCTCATTAGTTTCTTGAAAGGTTCTGAACAGGAGGCGCATTTCCCTATATAGAGCCGGTGCATTTGGCCCAATTTCCCTCGGGCGCAGTAGCGACGAACCCCATGCAAGACGCTATTCTGGTAGTCAACTCGCAGCGTTGGAATATCTCCAGCCGCAGACATCGATTGGCACCCCGCGGGGCATATGGGGCAGTGGTCCACACAACCAAAGACTGGCATCCGCCGAGGAATGAACTGGTCGAGTTTGCCATCGGCAAACTCGACCCCTTACGAGAGGCCATGATCGAGCATCATGCTCAGGGCTGCGACCATTGCGCTGCCATCATTGCCGAGGTGCCAGCCGACAATTTCGTCACGCTACTGCGGGCTTCCTCTCAAGCGGCACGCATTTCAAGCGACGCCTCCGATCAGCAGGTGCCCTCGCTTCTTAACAATCACCCACGGTATCGGGTGAAGCGATTGCTCGCCCGAGGCGGGATGGGGTTGGTCTATCTCGCAGAGCACAAGTTAATGCGAACGCAGGTAGCTCTTAAGGTAGCGAGCCTGGATGGTGATAAATCCTCTATCTCAACAGCTCGCCTGCTCCAGGAAGCACGTACGGCAGGCAGCCTTGCTCACCCCTCCATCGCTCGTCTGCTGGATGCCGAACAGATCGATCAATCGGTCGTTTTGTGCATGGAGTTTGTACGTGGAAAAACCCTGGCGGCAATCGTTGCCGAACGGGGGCCCTTGTCGGTGGCGGATGCTTGCCGCTGTATTCGAAGGATTGCTGTTGGTCTGGACTACGCCAACCGTCATGGCGTTGTGCATCGCGACATCAAGCCGCAGAACATCATGCTGAGTTCCGATGGCCAGATCAAAATCTTGGACTTTGGGCTCGGCCGATTTACGCGTGATCAAGCAAGCCACTCGGGTTTGACTGCAGATAAGCAAATGCTGGGCACGCCCAGCTACGTCGCGCCAGAGCAAGCCCGCGATGCTAAACGAGCCGAC